GTCAGGGTCCCATCCCCTTTCGAATCTGGATTTGTTTATCGGGACGCAAAGGCTAATGGAAATGGGAAAGACAACTCAGGAAGAGGAAACTATGGGGTCAGATCACCAGATCATATTCCTATCCTTTGGGGGGAGGGGATTATATGTGACGGAGTTAGTGGGGAAAAGTACAAGGAAGTTTAAGGAAAATAAAATAGACTGGGTAAAATTTAGTGGTATAATTAGGAAGGAAGCAAAGGGAATTAGGCAGACTTGGCTGGCTAGAGGGTGGAAGAATTATGACTTGGAAGATAGGTGCGTATTGATAACGGAAGCAATAGAGAAGGCACTCAGGGGAGCAGGAAGGCTACCCGCCTCCAGAAAAGGCCGAGGACCTGATAGGGCCCTAGACACGGGAATGGGTCGAAAAGTAAATAGACAGGTTTGGTGGGACGAAGAATATAGCACCTTGAAACATAAAACAAGGCAGGAGCTTCATCAGAAGACCCTGTCAGGAGAAATGGGAGCTTTTGAAGGAAGTAGAAAAGGAAATGAAGAAGCCGATTAACAGGAAAAGAACCTGGAAGGAATTTGTAGGTTCAATTAACTATCATACTAGCTTAAAAGAGGCGTAGGCAAAGGTGAGACAGATCAGAAATGGAATGACCAAAAGATTTGGAAGAACAGGAAATTACAAAGATATTAGAAGAAGATGAGCAAATGGAAGGGGAAAATGCGAACGAAGGACAAGAAGAGTACTGGGAAAAAGAGAACCAGGGCAGGGGGAGGAGGAGGGGAGCGGGAATTCTTTTAGCCTCAGGGACTGAACAGAGCCCTGTAGGATGTAAAAGCAACCTAGGCCCCCGGAGAGGATGATATATCATATGGCATCCTAAACAGACTGCATGAGGATATGAAGATACTGATTTTGGATTTATATAACGACATTTGGGATAAGGGAAAAATCCCTAGGAAATGGAAGAAGGTGATGATCAAGTTCCTGGATAAGCCAGGGAAAAAAGCAGTGAGACTGATTTCAATGATTAATTGCTTGGGAAAATTGTTGGAAAAGATGATAAAAGAAAGAGTGGTATTGAAACCGGCGATATTGTATTACCGACATTTTGAGTGTTCAACAATTTAACTTTGATTCTAATAAGAAAGGTAGAATTACAAGGTAACTACCACAGGGGTCGGTCCTGAGCCTCCTTCTATACAACATTTATTCGTCGGATATTGGGAGGGGATGGCCTGATTAGATCAGTTCTGAAGTATGGGATATACTTCTTTTTTTGAGAGAACAAAAAAGGAAGGGAGAAACTACAGAAATTACACAATTCAGGTATTAGGATTGCGATGGAATACAGGATTTCGACCCCGATTAATGTGATGAATGTAGAGGCGGGAATAATGGACTTTGAGACAAGGGTCGAGTCTTTATTGGAAAAATTTATAACTAAACACAGAGTAAAAGAGACGGGTCTGGTGTTGGAGACCCTCACAAGGTCCTTAGTAGTTAGAAATAAGGACTTGCTGAAAAACATGGAACCATGGTCAAAAGCATGGCTGAGGGCGGAGGACTGGAGTAGAAGAGGTCGAAGAGGTTGGCTGGGTAGAGAGGAATGGTTAGAGATGGGAAGTTTTCTGCATAGTGGACGGTTAGGAATTGAATGGGAAATGGGTAGGAAAAGGATGGTCTTAAACTATAGGACGTTGATGGGGAAAACAAAGGAAAAATTGTGTACGGGGGAAGAATGGGACCAGTTGGTGGAAATGTACACAGAGGGATGTAGAACCAAGAGAATCTTGGTTACGCGGGTCTAGCGATTAGAACTGGTCCGTCCACAGGGTCACCTCGGTCTTCTCAGCGGTAGCTTTTGCCATCCTGATGACAATTAGACAGGCCACGGAACTCTTACCGAAGAAAAGGGTCCGTATAGCCTTAAAATCCAGAACCTGGAAAATAGAGAAGTGACAATCCTTGGGTGCATGATATAGCACAGGAACTAATGGAAATGCCCCCCGCCCAGAGAGGGAAGGAGGACAGAAAACAATTGGAAAAAGGCGAAAAAGGAAGGATAGGGTTAGCAGAGATATCAGGCCACGTAGAGATAGAAGGGAATGAAAGGGCAGATCTCCTTACGGGGAAGGCTGCAAAAGGAGAAGAAAGTATAGAGTATGGAATCGCTATGAAGGACATAGATAGGTATATCCTGAAGGGAGCGTGGAAGAGAGCAATACACAGGGCTAGGAAAGTAGGAGAAAATAAAGGGAGAAGGTATTTTACGAGCCAAAAACCAAACATAGGCTCAAGAAAACCGCGGATTTTGAAGATCAAGGGTGTGGAAAGAAGGCTTATAACTAGGCTGAATAGGATTAGATCTAATCATTTTAACTTGAGGGAGTTGCTATATAGAGAAAAGGTAGTTGAATCCCCAGCATGACCGCGTAGGAGGGGGATGGAAAGTTTGGAACACGTAGTTTGGGAATGTGACAGGTTTTATTGGGAAAGGGAACTGTTGGAGAATTACTTGGGAAGGAAAGGGTTTGAGCCAGAAACGGATGTACACGATTTGATAATGAGGGGTAGTCTGATGGTCTGTAAAAAGGTGTACAATTAGGGAAAATAATTTCAAATCAGCTTGATGGAAATTTGGAAATAAAAAGGTGTATAGAGGAATACTGCCCCCCCCCCCCCCCCCCCCCCCCCCCCAAGGGAAGCCAGGAAAAGTCTTACTAATTGTAATTGTAATTGTAATTTTTATGTATGGAAATGGTGGGTGAAAACGCTGTGAGAAAATGATAAAAGAGCTTGACTAAAATTGTAAGTATGAATGAACCAAAATTTGTGCTGTAACGTGGTATCACGTGTGCCCTCCGTTACAACTTATTATAATTTTCCTCACCCCCTTTCCCCCTTCTTCTACCCGCCAGTATCGGGCCGGTGGAAGCGACGGAGAGCCACACCACGAAGCTGCCACCCCCGTCTTCGTGGAAAGAGTCCCGAGGCCGACAACTGCTGCACAGCCCTCCCCGAAAAGGGAGCAACGATGGACCGGTAGGCGTCCAACCGGCTCAACCAAACAGCGGCCAAAAAAGGATCCCCCTGGAACCACCTGTCGTCGAGTCCGGGAACCACCAGCCTGCAGCCATCACCATCGAGCCTCCGTCAGCCCCATCGATCCCCGTTACCGGCTCATCGATCATCGATCGACTTATTACCCGAAAGATGGCCCAATTTCCCTTAACCCATCCCCACCCCAAAATTTTCCTGCGGCGACGAGCCATCAATTAGCGTTACGGCGTCGTATGGAGAGTATAGAAAGCGAATCAGATAAGCGATATAGAGACAGCGGACCGTACAGAAGCGGGAGTGTGAGTGAGTACGCGAGTGCGAGCCCACGATTATTAAATATACGGGTAAGTCCTTCCGATTATTAAATATTGTAATTCTGAGTCTAGTAACGGCAACTTCTCGTCCGCGTATCTCTCTGCCCGTGTCCGGTACCCCACATTCGCGACTGCCCTTTTCCTCCCTTCGAAATTCCCCCCCATATTTCTCCTCCAATGCGTAACGTGTAGAACTGAAAATAGACCCTGAAACCTCCCTTCCCAAGACGATCCTCCTTGCGCATTCCCCCGCGAAATTGGTGTGACGGCCGATCGAAGTCGAGCCGCGAGTCCTTCCTTCTGTGCAAGCCCCCTATTTTCCCCTTTTTTGCGAGCCGCGGCTCGCCTTTGTAGTAAAAGAGGATCGTAAAAGAGAAGGATAGCATAACAGCTTTGTAGTAGCCGAGGCATTGCGACTGTGATCTCATTCCCATATTGCGACTGTGGTCAGAATCGAAATGTTGCAATGACGGTAGAGGAGACTCGAAATTCGATAACTGGGCAGCAAGACTCTATCGCCGCCGCTCGCCTTTTACTTAAAATAATATAATAGTCCAGATGTCATCGAACCCATAGGCCTGTAGCTGTTTATACAGGGAGATTCTCTCGGCGCGCAACACAATAGCCGCCCCGCACAATGGAACCCTGCTGTGTTTGCGGGCAGAAAGCCCAGGAGGTCAAGTCGCCGGACCCAAGACTGTTCTGTGTGTGTTTATAGCTGAGGATAGAATAAATATAATGTAAATTATATCGTGTTTGGTCTCATTTTAATCGGAAGAATCTCAAAAGTATGTTAAAAAAAGTTTCAGACAAAAAATCGTTGAAATTAAAAAATTATATTGCAATATTACGAATTGCTAAGGCGCCAACTCACATCAAAAGAACCGCGACGGGCATCGGGTTACACTGCTTGACTGACTCGAGCGAGAAAAGCATAAGCGTAGGAATAACACACGCATAGGCGCGGGACCAGACCCAGTCGCAATATGGGAATGAAACTATAGTCGCAATCTCGGAGGAACTTTTATAAGGTCACTTTTACGACTCAAACCGAGACGTATCTACTGAAAATCGGGAAATTTGTAAACGTTATATCTTGAAAACTAATTAAAATCGAGTGTATACATTATAGCTTAATGAATTCGTCTTGAGAAGCACTATTACATGATCTGAAAAAAAATATATGGTTCCATTTAAAAAATAAAACTTGACCATCATATTTCTTAAACTAATAATGCAAAAGATTTTTCACTTCGGCCAAAACATAGACCCCCTTTCCCATGCAATTTCCATATCAACAATTTTTTGTATCATTAATAGTTACGGAATAAGAGCTCTGTATCCGTTTAAGTGAGACACCCTGTATGTGTATTACGATTACTAAATGCCAATCCTGTATCCTATACTACCCGCAGGGAAGGTCAAGGTGCGCCTTAGCGTTTTAATCGGCAAAACCCGTAGAACGTATTAACAGTAAAATAACCACCCATAAGGTGGAACGTAACACTAGTATGCAATGTTGCAATAAATAATTTTTTTGTAAACCTTCATTTCCTGTAATAAATTATGTTTATAGTTGTATTTTTTCTTATTTTTATTCAAAAAATATAGGGACATAAGTAAATCAATAATAAATAATAAATCATTAATTTATAAATCAATTAATTTAAAAGTAGTAAATTTTGTTCTTTGTTTAAACATATGCGTAATTTTGATACTTTGAGATTAAAATGATGTTTATAAATATTTGTATACCTAGCTGTCACATGGAAAAATATTAAACCACATTCACGCTGTAACTAATGCCTCGCCGCGCCTTTAATGTATACATTATCTAGGAATTGAATACTTTAACTAGGTATAGTGTGCATTTTATTATTCAATTCATACTTTGTCTAAGAATTCACGTAGAAGTATATATTAACTATTGGATGTATACATTAACTGGATTTTATACTTTAACTGTAACATATACAAGTAGTAGCTATGGTAAGGAGCATTTCCCTATGGTTCAGTGGAGTGAGAAAGTAGGGATAGTAGTTAAAAGTGGCTCGCAAGCTACAGTTTAGTCATACCTGCAATAATTGATCATAAATCTTATTTTGATTATGAGTGCTTACGATCTATGATCAATAATCAGATTCTAAAATGTTCTTGATTAAGTTTTGAAAGATAAGTGATAATGAGCACCTAGATTTTGGAAAACGTTCCTAATACAAACGAAGTCGTGCTGACATGTAGTTACTCAACTGCTATCGAAGTTCATTTTTCCTTACTCCAGCCTGACACCCGTTACCTGACAGTGTTATACTTAAAATTTACACATCTTTCACTGCACACACACACACACACACACACGCACACTCATACGATAAAAATATACAGTATTATTTGAAAATACATTAATATAATATTTTCATTAAAAAAAGAAAACTAATAATAAAAAGGGCGAAACAAATGAGAATAAAATTATAAAGGAGGAGAATCATTCGACTATAAGTACACGACAAGCTGTATATCCTATTCTTTAAAAAGATGTACAAAGAAAACAGTTTATGCAGTGGTTAACCGTATTGTATTAGATTAAAAAGCGCATCGACGTTTTCTTTTTCAGATTCCTGCTGCTGTACAACTTGCGTGACATCCTGAGTAAGGAGGACTTGTTCGATTAGAATAGTCTCTGTATCAGGATGTTCAGAAACTGGAATACTTTCTTCTTTAACCTCTTGTTGGACGTCGTTCGATTTGATCGTTGTTTTCCTTCGTTTCGCCCTGGGTTTATCAGTGTGTATCCTCATGTGTCGTCGCAAATCGTATTTGCCAACGAAACGCGCGCTACAAGTTTCACAGGCGAACGGTTTCCCGCCGGTATGAGTCCACATGTGACGCCTCAATGCAGCGCTGAACGTAAAAGCTATTCCACATACATTACAAACGTACGGTTTCTCTCCAGTGTGTAACAGGCTATGGTCCCTCAGGGTAGCCCTCTGATTGAAGCGCTTTCCGCAAACTTCGCACGTATAGCTTCGCGGATTCGAATGAATTCTTACGTGATTCAATAGGTTCCCTTGCTGCGAGAAGGACCTGCCGCATACGTCACACTTGAACGGTTTTTCGCCCGTGTGGACACGCATGTGAGTCTCCAATGTGCGATTATTAAGAAACCTCTTCCCACACACTTTGCAGGGATACTTAGGCAAATGAAGACCCTGCGGGTCCAGATGCGAGATCAAATGCCGCTTGTAGTTACCTTTGTGATTGAATAGACGGGGACATTGGCTACAAGCATATGGCGCTCCTCGTATATGGGTGGCGATGTGGGACTCCAGCTCCGACTTCACCTTGAACCTGGAACCACACTTTGGACACCGGTGCCTAAGGAAGTTTGTGTGGCACACCATGTGTCGCTTCAGATACCTCTTCATAGTATACGCTTTGTTGCATATGAAGCAGGAATAGGGAAACTGACCGGTGTGTGTCTTCACGTGCGCCCGCAGGTCGCGATGACTTTCGCAGTCCTTTTCACATACCACGCAAAAAAATGGCCCACTGCTTGGCACATGGTTGTCTATGGTATGCAACAAAACGCCAGTCAACTTATCATAATTTTGCAAACACAACGTGCATTGATACTGTATCATATCGTCCTCCAGCTTGATCTCTTTTATTCTCGTGATCGTGTCGTTTAAGCTACCCAATATATTGTCTTTTGGGTCAACGAAGTAATCCGAGTCCGACTCACCGCTCCCTTCCGCTTGTTGCTGGTTCAAGTCCAGCGAAACTTTTTGCGCGTTTCTACCGTTTACTCTTTCTTCCGGAATCGTAGATTTCCAGGTCACTTCAACCTCGTGATTCGCTTGCCTACCCTCAATTTTATCGTCGCACACGGTTATGAGAAACTCTTCGTTGTTCGTCGATTCGTGTAAACTATCGCCGTTACACTCCGACTCGATAACCTTTTTATTATCATCTAATTTGATGGTGGAATCGCAAGAAAGCACATTCTCGGCACTAATGTGCTCTAAAGATACCTCTTCCTCAGGTATATACATTATCGTATAATCTAATTGTTGGGACTCTAAGATTTTCGAAATCTCCTCGGGTATTTCGTTATTTAATCTCTTATCTTGATCCACTTCCGCCCCCGACAACTTTGAAATTATGATGCCTCTTAGTTCAGACATTTCAGTTTTATTAAATTCTGCATTTTCTTCTACCAGTTGAACCACGTCCAGCTCTAATGCCTGTTCGTCCTTAACACCCGCGCTAATTTCTTCGACTAAAAATTCATCCGAATCGACTGTATTACACGCTTCCTTAACGTCTTTATGCTTATCATCTAACAATTTTACCACCAGTGATTCGTTTGACTGTTCCGCGCAATCTTGTTCGAAATCGTTGCCCATTGCTTCTTCCTGAAAGGCAATACGAACCAATTCGAAACGATATTAATGCTTCCAAACAATGTTTAAGTATGCACAGTGTCATGAAAGTTTGTGGAAATGAGGAAACACAAGCGCACAATTAAATTGTAGAATTGAATCAATAAGAGAAACTATAGCCTACATAAAAAAGTATAACGCAACAAAAAAGTATTCTAGTAGGTGATTAAGTATGAAATGTCCAATTTTCTTCAGCGCTTAACCTTATCGATTTGTTTCAAGTGGTTTAATATTGTTGGAATACTAACACCAAACTTTGCTGCTATTTCACGCGTAGTTTGAGATGTATTCGCTTCCACTGCCTCAGATCACCCGCGTGGTTCATTTTGAAGATCAAAATCGCCAGATCGGAATTTCTCAAACCATCGATGTACTGTGCGTTCATTAGCCACATGTTTGCCAAACACTTCGTTGACACTTCGAGCTGTTTACGCTGCATTAATTCCACGGCGGAATTCATATTCGAAAATAACACGAATTTTTCACTTATTCATGGTTTACAGAATGTAATCTGCAAAAAGCAGTTCGACAGATAATCATAAACCGAAACGTAGAAAAAAAAAAAAAAAAAAAAAAAAAAAAACAAAGAACGATCAAAGTGAAACAATAGAGATATCAAGTGTCGAACTTGGTACTTTAGGTAATCGGACATTCCATACTTAATGACCTACTATAAGAATTATAATGTAAAGAGACACAATTAGTAATGTAGATTTGACTCCTAGTATTTAATATCATATCTTCCACTGAAATCATTTATCATAAGCATAAATGCTTCGTTAACTTTTGTTATTACCATTTTTACTTTTGTTCTTGAGGAGGAGTAATTTGTACATTATTTGAACAAGTAACCTGCTGCAATTTCATTTTTAAAAAAGGGTTAACATAAATTTAATATGTAAACAAAATTTTATTAGGTTACTTTTATAGCATAATACTTTTTTATAGGTAATTGTAGAAATTTTTTATGTATTCAAATTGCAGTCAAAGCAAACAAGTGGTTTTGTTATTAACATAGTAGCTGAAACATCAATTTTACATATTTGATAGTATTACCATGTTTGTGAAGGAAATGAAATAAACAAAAGTTGCAATTCTGTGGCAAATATTAAATCTGATTTCTTAATAATATTAAAACTGAAAATATTAAATTCTATAATTAAAAACTAGCAACTGAAATTATCACTGCTATTTAAGCCAATTTAACCTACCACTTTCATTCTATTATGCAATATAAATAATTTATTATACTGATATCAATACTCTTGTAAATTGTGAAATATTGTTGTTTTTAAGAAACTTCATCATCAGTATTATTTTGACAGTATATAAGTTACTTTACAATTTCTATTTTACGTATTATCAGTTACAACTAGTGAAATACCATGTTGTTAATATAAAATAGTGGGTATTAGTATAGGTATTAATTACTAAAAGAAAATGTAAGCAATTTAATATGTTTCTATATGGAAAAATTACATTTTACTATATACTGCTATTATACCATTTTCTGCATATAATAAATAACGAGGTGAAAGTTCAGAAAACTAACGTATGGAAATAATAAAATCATAATAAAATGCTTATGCAAAATAAACAGAAAAGTTTTGTTTAATAATACTAAACAAAATGAATAACATATAACAATATATGTATTAAAATGATATGATAGACTTATCCACTCGACTTTTTAGATTTGTTCTCTGATAAAAAGATAAGACCAAGGAATTTATGTTTTCACCTTTTAACCTTGCTCTCAGTTTTTTTAAAATCACTAACAAAAATTACTGTAAGAAACATGGCTGAAACGTATTATTATAACTTATAAAATCAAATAATAATTGAAATGATTGCCAGTAGTTAAAAAGGAATTTCTAATGGAAACTGTTAACTGTAATGAAAACATTAAATTGTATTAGTACAATTGTGTACCATCTTACAAGAAATTTTCTGATAAATATAAATTATTCAAACATTGCAAGTAAATTATGTGAAATTAAAAGACAAAATTACTTTAATTAAAACAATGTAACACGGTAAACTATTTCTTTGGAATTTTATAATTCATAAATACTTTCACAATCTTTTCAATCATTGAAAAAAAAAGAAATGATTAAGTAAAATAAAATAAATGCATTTCCCACACTTGTTATCATTTTGTGTTATTAGTATTAAAGAAAACAAAGTAATTTAGTTACATTAATAGCAAAATATAAAATGCTTACCTTCACAACACAACGAATTTGTGTTTCAAACATCTTACGAAGTTTTCTTTCAGTAGCTTGAACTTGTAGCTTAAAATCGTAAAATGCATCAGTGCGATAAGCACATTTTGCACAAAGCATGTTTGGTAAGCCATCAAATCTATCAATCTGTAAAAAAGGAAAAGCGTTTTAATACATTAAAATCTGAGACAATATTTTAAATTATATGATACTGAAATTAAAACAAGTTTCAATTAAGAATTAAAAATCTTATTATATCCTATGTAACAGCGTTCAACTTAGTTACTCCTAAGATAGTTTGCAGTTTGTTGCAATATTGTAAATTTATTTATAACATATAGTTGGATAACAATCTTTCAAAGGCATATCTGCTATTAAGTATTATAGATACTTTTCTAATTATATTGAATTAGACTAAAATTAAATTAACTTGATGTATATAATTGCAAAGTAGCTTTTCATAATGTCTTTTAATGGCTTATAATTTCCTAATACACTATGTAACTAATTAAAATACAGTGGTACCTCGGTATACGTCTGCTTTGGAATACATCCAATTTGGAATAAGTCCTGTTTGAACGTGACAAATTTTACTCTGTATACAACATAAATTTTTTGTGTGAATTTTGCGTCATTTTTAAATAATTATCTCAGAGGATAAATTAAATTAATAATCAATTATATTTGGACTAACTTATCATACAAGTAAGAATATCATATAACAAACTATAACCGCAAAACAGAAGGCAATAAAATTTATTCCATTTGGTTTGTTAATTTAGAATTTATCATTAAGTTACATTTATATTTTACAAATAAATTATGTTAAATAAACTAGTGAATATTTTTTATAAACTTCTAGGAAATCATTCAAATGCTGTTCATGACATAAACAGTGTTTAAATTATTTTGTAACCCCATTAATGTAGATATAATATCAATGGGAGTTTTTTTTACTTGAGAACGGATTAATCATTTATAGATTACTTCTTATGGGAAAGGTTGGTTTTGTATACGTCCTATTCGGTATCAGTCCAAACATCAGAAATGGATTAAGGTCGTATACCGATGTAGCACTGTATACATATAATACGCATAATCTATGTAGATAATTAGGAAGTTTAAGTTTCTTAAACTTTCACTTCAACTACAATAAATATTATTTGATCGTAATTAAACATGAAAAAAATCTCTACAAAATAAGATATAGAAATTACATCTATCAAATGAATCTCCAAAAATATTTTGAGGTTATGTTGTAATATTGCAACAATGATGAAGAATTAATTGCAATGAGTAATTGGTCAATTCATTAAACAATCAAAAACGCATAACAAATACGTTTTTCTTACTAACTTGTATAGAAGCAAGTTCAGCAAGTTTGTCAGGTAAATTTTTCTGTCTAATCGTGTCGTCATCGTACATCGGAAGAAGAACGCCGTCAACTTTCATGCATGCACGACACATATCGGCACAGCTAATTTCCCAGCTCATTGTTATCTTAAATACCGTGATACACGTAAAATAAGATTTTCACGGCGTTTCTCGTTACTTAGAAATAAATGCATTTCACATTTCGCGGTCAGCGTCTTATTTCCTATCGAACATCACCGTCAACATAAAATCCAATTATTCACTGTAGATAGAGCTTGTAGTCCACACGTGTGCTTACTGGCGTAATTTTTGTGGCATTAGTCAGTCCGTACATGTAAAAGTCCCTAGATTAGAAGTAGTTCACAGCCGACTCTATGGGCCGTATTCAGAGTCGCAACTTAAGCAAGGACTTAAGACGGTCTTGACGAAGATCGTCTTATTCGAATAAGCAATGTTTAAGTCGCTATGTATTCACAGTCGGCGAATAAGACCGATTTAGTTGAGGAAGCGATGCTTAAGCTTTGCTTAGTGAAGTCCATGCTTAAGCAATGTTTATTTGACGTTCGGCTATTTTCGTCGATTCTCTACTGTAACAACCAATCAAAATGATTTTTGAAACTGTAGCATTATTTGTTAGTGCCGCGTTTTTTGAATTGAATTTTAACACTATCGCTTGAATTAATTCAAATAATTGAGCGAGCGATAGACAGAGCTAAATTTATTAAGAAAAAATCAATTCAATTGAAAAAGTAACAATTTTATTATTAATGTTATCACATACGTTATAAAAATATCTTATATTTAAAGTTTCATTCTGAAATACGAACACAAAATAACACAAAATTAAACTTACGACTGAAATTATTTAAAAAAAAAATTTTAATGTAATTCTTTGTATTGATTATGAATCCTAAACAATATTAAATATAAAATTAAATTTTTAAATATTTATAATAAAACTGAGAATTCTAAATCATTAAAAATGAATTAAAAGTAGTTGTAGCAAACTTATCGATTATTGAAGATCATTAATAAATCAGCAGTATATGTATATATGTATAAAAGATATTGCAAAAATCCTGTGGTTGAAGGTATAGGTTGTGATATGACTGTGGATGAGAGTATTTTAATCAATAAATTGAACCAATTTGAGCCGAAAGAATAATGATTATTTATTGGCTCGATAGACACAATAAGGGGAAAAAGCCTTGCGGCATAAAAAACCCCTTATTATATTTCGTTTGACACAATTACTCAATGAAACATAGGACAATGAGTGCTTCACGTGTAGCAAATCCATCAATGCCATTAACATTTTCCACGATTCCTAATAATTCTTCTCCATCTTCATTTTGGTTTTCAATTTCACCTTCTTTTACAAGAATGTCATTGAAAATTAGGGCTAAATTATGCAACACAGCACATGCAACTACCGTTGCTGTGGAACATAAGAACTTCGTTGTTAAACCCCTTGTAAGACATGGAAAACGTTCTTTCTACTATCTGTCGGGTCCTGAACTGGATTTCATTGTACCTGTGTCGACCGAATAATTCGACCGTGGTAGTATAAAATTGTTATAAATGTGATATATATTTTGTGTACTCTCGAAGTACTTTGGTGTTATGAAGCATGATATTTGAGATATTTACAGTGGTTTCAAGAAAATTTAGGTATGAAGCAAAATGAAACCATCTTTGGATCAAATTGAAACATTTAAGAATTGATAAACGTGTATATAAGTTAATAAAAACCTTGAAACAAGTGAAATTATTGGAACGAAACCAAGGAGGTTATGTGAAGACCAGAGAGTAGCCGGGAGTCTGACGACGTTAATTGGCTGGGTGTCCGGGAGGCACATAGAGTAGGGTAGGTGTTACGTGAAACGTTATCACGTGAATATGTTTAGAGTGGTGTGGCGACACTGCCATGGGAATATTTATCGATAGTCTATTGTATCGATATGTCTTGAATGTTCTTCGAGGACCTTTTGTATCGATAGTCATAAATTAAAAGCGAAATTCAAAGATCATCTGTGCGTACACTTATATAAATAGACAAGGATTAAATTGTAAACCCCTCGACGTGGGTGATCGAGCTGAGAGAAGGCCGGAAGTTCAGAGAATGGAATAGTTTCACTTCGAAAATTCCTAAAAGACTAATTTATGATAGACCATAGCCAATTCGTTGTTTTCGATCAAGTCACGAACCGTCCTTAAAAGCTACAAAGTCTTTTTCGATATCCTGTCTTTTCATGCACTCTAAGAGGGTCGTAAATTTCCTCGAGAGTTGCTTTGGCAAGTACAAGGTCTTGTCGTTTCCTAATTTCTCTGGGTCCCACGCTTTCTCGTAGTACATGTGCGCTGCAACGTTCTAGCGCCTTGGCGGAGCGCCTCCACTTCCACGCGCCCGAGGGTGAAGGGGCCTACGCAGGACGGAGTGGACTCCTCCACCATGGGACGAGGGATGATCCTGAGGGAGGATCCAGGATCCATCAAGGAAGGGGCATCTATCGACGACGCGCGAAGATCTCCGCCAAGCGCTGAACCGTCAGAATGATTTTGTCGCTCACTTTACGAAATCGTTCTCACGCTGCAATTTAAACGTATTGTAAATTCAAAGTTTCAAGTCAGCCATTTGAAAGGTTTAAAATATTAAAGCTCAGTAAAGAATAATAATTGTTTATTATTTTCATTTCCGCGCCTTGCGAGCGGAGCGCCTCCGCGCTCCACGGATTGTCATACCTGCGGACACGTAATTCGGACACGTAACAATATATTCAGACCGGACTCCCGCGGTGTTGCCATTTTTACTTCAGCGTGGCTAGTACTTACTAGAGTTAGCTGTGAGTACTAGCCGTGCTGAAGTAAAAATGGCAACACCGCGGGAGTCCGGTCTGAATATATCAACACCTACCCTACTCTATCTGCCTCCCGGACTCCCAGACTCTCAGCCAATCAACGTCGTCAGACTCCCGACTACTCTTTGGACTTTACATAACCTCTTTGGTTTCGTTCCAATAATTTCGCTTGTTTCAAGGTTTTTGTTAACTTATATACACGTTCATCAATTCTTAAATGTTTCAATTTGATCCAAAGATGGTTTCATTTTGCTTCATACCTAAATTTTCTTGAAACCACTGTAAATATTTCAAATATCATGCTTCACAACACCAAACTACTTTGAGAGTACACAAAATATATACATCACTTCTATTTGTCATAGTTGCAACGTTTATATATTGTTTATACATAATTAACACAAAATAGTGTATATTACTACAGCTTTTAATTAAAAAAGACGTTAATTACAATTCCGAGCACAGGACTCTGTTTTTGAAAATAGGACTCCCGATTGTCACGTGAGCGGTGTTGCCACGTTGTTCAGCATGGCTAGTACTAGAGTCGGCTGTGCTGTGAGTAAGTAAGTACATACATAGTTGTAAGTTCGCCCTAGAAAAATGGCTAGAACGTAGAACACACCATTATTCGTTCCTGCTGAACAGATTGCAAAGAAATTTGAGGGATGTGTTCAGGAGGCTCTAAAGAATGGCGTGCTTGTCCGTATTTTACCCAAATCGTCAAAAAGTTATAAAATATTGAAATTGCTGATATCCGACGCGTAAATTTTTTTTTCACGCATCGTTCTATCGACTAGGATAGCGATTTTCAACCCATGTGTCACAAGACGTACTATCATTATTTTTTGTTGCTGTTATTATTCTTTTTGTTAGAAAATTCGGTGACGGAGCTGGAGCGCTAACAACCTAGCGCCTAATTGCACGGCCGCCCAGATGTTGGCCGATTTTTGTGAGTTAGACTCCCAAGGGGTACGGAAGGATTTTGGGGACTGGTCAAGACAAGCCGACTTTCCTGGACCGGAAAAGTCAGTCTTGTTTGGCCTGTTCGACGGATAGCATCGTCTAGTAAAGAAACATATTGTATCGCTCGAAGCCGGATTATTAAAAATTGTCATCCTTTGACCTCATTTAGTTATCTTCTTACATTTTTTTTTAGTGAAACTGCAGAACAAATACGTCCTTCCCGATTTCGATGATTTTTTGATATGTTATAAAAATTGATATTTTGAACAACTTTCTCTTATACATATAAGGAGCGTTCTCGCTTAGTTTCCGAAATATTCGCAAAAATATAGTTGCTGATCTGTGACAGCATACATAGATATGCGTCAAATTGGTTGCCACTTTTCTGTTTAGAAACGAGGGTCGAGCGAGAGTAAAGGTTTCGTTCACAACTGTATATACCAAACTCCAAGAAATAGCTATTCAAACTAAATTACAAGTGAATGTTATTGATGTAATCAGTTAGGTTATGGTATATATGCACATCCGGCCGCCTTAAGGCGGTCGGCAACGCTTTCGTGAAATAATAACAAATTATTTATAATACGCATTTTTAATATTCCAGGTCGCAGTTTCTATGCTTACATATTATTATTTCAGGAAAACGTTACCGGCCGCTTTATGGCAGCAACGTAACCCATCACATCAATGATATTCACTTCTAATTGAATTTGAATACACATTTCTTGAAATCTCGTATATGCAGTTATGAATGGAGCCTTTATGGTCCGCAACCTTGTTTCTAAACAGAAGAGAAATGGCCAGCGGATGGCAACCAACACTTATGCAAAGAGTAGGTATAATAAGAGGCGACACTCTGAGAGAGAAACTACTTGTAGAGAGAGACAAAGTGATATACAGTAAAACCTGGATAAATTCAACGAAAGAATGCTTGGATAAATGAAACATCGCTATCCCCTCCACTTGGGGGGATCCCCCTAGGCGAACCGAGCCGCTCGACGAGGAAACCGTGTAATATGATCCGACCGTAATATCCGTGTGACTAATACTAATTCAACGATAAAACTTTTTTATTTTTAACTTTTTCTCAATGAAACTGTTACTAATGCATTTGTGAGATTTTTCTGATTAAAATGATACCAAACTCGATATAGGTTGAATTATATTTATAAACAATAATAATAGAATAAGCAACATAGAATTGAGACCACGACTGAATATAAATGATGTCGGCTGAATACAAAAGATGTGTACGGACACAGAATCGGCATGTTGGCTACAAAGAAAACATGTGTACGGATTCAGAATCGACACCTCGCTTGGATAAATGAAACATTAAATGCCCAGAATCGACTCCTTGCTTGAATAAATGAAACATTAAATGCCCGGAATCGACTCCTTGCTTGAATAAATGAAACATTAAATGCCCAGAATCGACTCCTCGCTAGGATAAATGAAACCTTTGAAACCAAAGCCGACACCGCGACTAGTTTGGATTTCGATCTCTCTTGCTTTTCGCCAACTTATAACATCAATTTTAGCAAGTAATTATAATTGAAACTATATCGTGTTTGGTACCACTTTACTCACAAAAATCTCACCAATGCGCTAGTAAAAGTTTCACTCAAAAAAAGTCAAAAATAAAAAAGTTTTTTGATTCAATTAGTATTAGTCACACCGATACGTTTCGGCTCTTTCCTTTGATTTCGGACCTCTCTCTTTCCACCACTGTCTGTCCCTTTCTACGTTCACGCTTAGCTGGTCGTCGCGTGTCATCCGAGCTTCGATACCGTGCTTAGGTAAACGCAACCACTGGGTCCCAATCTTGGTTGAATTTATCCAGGTTTTACTGTAACCCATTTAAAGGTCCATTCGGCAATCTTCGTTTTCGGCCGTGAACAGTCGCGAACGCGCGATCAGTTTGTACTGTGGATTTACGTACATACCCTATTTTGTGGAAACTTCTTTGTCAGAATGCTCCAAAAAGCAAGAGTTTATGGCATTTCAGACCATCATAAACCAGGAATTCTATTTTACTTCGCACCCATGTAGGTAAAAATATGTATCAATTATGTAGAAATGTAACTGGTTTTATTCATCCTTGTAACAATTTTCCTCTAGAATATTTATTAAAGTTATTTATTAGATTAAAAATTTATTATACACTTAAATATAGTAATAGGGATTTTAAAACTTGCGTTAAAAAAGATAGACTTCATATTGTATTAAATTTGTAAATATTGTAATGTCTTCAAATATATTATCCGCAACCTTCCCTCATCCTATTGTATAATTGTATAATTTATGTTCAAATATAATTTCTAATATTATCATTTTATTATATTTCTTACTTTCCCACTTTTCAATTATGTAAAATTAATGTAAATACTTCGATTAATAATATACAAAAAAATTGACGACGCAAAAAGGTTTTTAGATATAAAAGATTGTTATGAAAAGAAAGTATTACATACAATTCATTCAAACTTCCCGCTCGTTGATACAACCCATTTAAAGGGACAGCGAATCGTCGACATCAAAGGTGCCGCCGGGAGTGTCGCCTCTTGTTATACCTTGTTGCGTGCGCCGTTCCAGGTTATAGGGATTTTGGGGACGTGAGTAAGGTGCCCGTGAAGCACTGAGCACTCTGCTCGCGGTGCGGCCTTTAAAAAAACAAACACTTTGCGTTAAAAAAATGAAGTTTGTATTTCTTTGTTTTTAGACTTTATTCTTTCAAGAAATGTAACAAGACGGGTTGAAGCTTTGAATCGTTCTAGGCTTGGCGGTGAAGATCTTCGATCGATATTGGCTGTCATCCCCTCCTCGCTGGATCCTGAATCCTCCCTCAGGATCATCCCTGGTCCAATGGTGGAGGAGTCCATCTCTGTCCGGAGGCGGTCCCTCTCCCTGGCTTTGGTCCACCTTTGAGCGAATGGAAATGGTGGTGCTCCGCTAAGACTCGAGAACGATTCTGTGCACACGTATTTAAATACTAAGAGAAAGCGTGGGATCCAGAGAAAACGGGAAATGAAAGATCTCGCGCTAGCGAGTCGAGGCAACCCTTGAGAGAATTTACAACCCTTTGTAGATAAACAGGATGTCGAAGTGACTTCGACAGTTTCAAGAACCAAACATGATTTTCGTTAAGAGTATTGAATTAGATACAGCCGCAATAAATTAGTCTCTTAGAAATTTCAAGTGGGACAGTTCTATTTCTCCGAATTTCCAACTCTCTCTCCCAGCACGATCACCCGCGTTGAAAGTTTTACAATGTCTTATCTATTGCTTGTTTAATCTTTTGAATTTTGGCTCCTAATTTATGAGCATTGATATAACATAGCGCAGACATGCTGTAGCCATATTCTTATGGCATCGTCACCATATTACATTTCATTTAACTCCTGCGATTACAGGTTTGCAGCTAAATTCACACGATACTGCACTCGTACATACAAGCGAGGTTCGCAACAACCTCCTCTTTGACTTATGCATGTGCTGTCGCAAACGCACATCTATAGGCAGAATTCAATGTGTTATATCGATAGTTTTTTCATTGTTAGTGATTTATTTCATTTCAACGGCATAAAATATCCTGGATTTTTTATATTTTTCAGCCACTGCTGCTACACACGATCTGTACAGGAGAATAGTGAAATGCTGATTGAAAAACATCCCGAAAATAAATGTTGCCAGATTTATTAACATTTTTTCAGACAGAGAAGTTAGTATATTTTTTCAGCATATAATGTGATATTATGCTGGACTCTCCTGATTTTGCGTTACGCCCAAATATTCGATGAATAGGTAACGAAAATGAGACCTTGGAAGAACAACACTGCTAGAGCGAGTTCTTCAATGCTGGCAAACGTAGAAAAGGATAAATAGCGGAAGAGAAAGAGGTCCGAGAATTAAACGGCCCGAGAAAAAACATTTGAGCGAGACAATATTAATTCAACAATAACTTTTTTATTTTTCATTTTTGCTAAATGAAACTTTCACCAATGTAATTGTAAGGTTCTACTGATTAAAATAAGACCAACCACCATATAATTTGCATTATTTTTACTTATTTAGATATAAATAAGTAAATAAATAATTATAATTCAAATTATGTCATGTTTGATCTTGTTTTAATCAGAAAAATCTCACAAATACGTTAGTATTTGTTCGGGTTGATGGAAATCCCGGAAGGATTGCGCCGGAAATAATTGACACTTGCTGGATGGGTTTTACAAAGTGATTTATTTTAGTCAAACAGTAAAAATTGCAACAATGATTTGTCAGATCTGTCTCGAATTAAGCAGTGATTCGACAATGAATTGAACAAATGTATGATAGCAAGAACAGAAACTTGAATTGTCTTTGTGGTTTGAACAATCGAATACAAGAGCAATGAAATATACCGTTGAATGATTTTACCATGAACTGTCGACGTTTAACAATACAGTTAATTGTATAAATTCAGCCCGCTGCTTTGATGATGCCCGTGAACGCGTGCGTGATCGACACGTGGTTGGCGGCTCGCGTGTTCAATGAATTTGGTGTAACTGATCGATACCTTTCGCAATCCTGCTGCTCTGCACGATAGCTGTGGATTCCTGAGGTCTTGTTGAGCGGTCTTGATCGTTTATCACTGCTGAATTGTACTTGAGTTGCACTTAAAACGATGAACTGGTGAGCACGTGTTTCTGTTGTGAATCGATGATCAATAAGCGGGTCTTCTTTATCGAAAGGTGGCGCTCAGCATACCGACTCACCAGTCGATAAAGAAGACCCGCTCACCGGATCAACAAGTCAGATCAACAGGATCATTTCCACACAGCAATGGCTCAAACGGCAATATCAACCGACAAGTGGAGTGAAATGGACAGCTCCAAGGAGTCGTTAGAGGTGCCGGAAAAAAGCGCATCAGGATGGTCATCACCAGCACTGGCCGCCACGGAACCAGCGCCAACACCGTCACCGTCACCGTATTCACATGCAACACGCGCCAGTGCACCCTCCACGCTGCCCGTGGACCTACAGCTCAAGGTCAAGACGCAACAGGGACGACTCCGCTCAATGAAGCGCCTGCTCACCAAGCTTCAGGACAACGCTGGCCACCTGAAGCAGCAGGCCGACGAGGCTCTGAAGGCATTTGGCAAGGAGCATGCCCATTTCGAGGTGGTGTAGCCCTCCTCGATGACTGATCATCCGTATTTCAATGAGGAATGCTTCGCTCAAATACAGGACGCCTACTCCGATTCGAAGTTCCTAATTGCGAAGGAGAAGACCAGGCTCACGGCTCAACGACCGGTTCAGCAGACAGATCAACCAGCCAAGATGACTCAATCCAAGCTGCCAGACATTGAGCTGCCAATGTTCAACAGTAGCTACACGGATTGGCCATCGTTCATCGATTTGTTTGGATCCGTGGTGATGAAAAGGGAGGACCTGGACGATATAGAGAAATTCTACTATTTGAAGGGATGCCTGCGAGGAGAACCGCTCCAGATCATCTCGAACCTGTCGCTCACCGGGCCATCACTCAATACCGCCATCTCCCAGCTCAGGAGTCGATACGAGAATAAGCGTCGCCTCATTCAGGCTCACCTGGACCAGCTCGCTTATCTGCCAGCAGGCCCACTGGTCATGGGCCAAGAACAAGCAAAGAGCCTGAGCCATCGTATCAACGGCCCTTGAGACGAGGAACGCGGTACTCAACCTAATAGAACCTGGCACACTGGGAGGCTGTATGCTCGTCCACCAAGTTTGCCGAAAAATGGATAGGACGACCAAGGAGAGGTGGGAGTCCTCTCTTGTGACGTCCACAGAGTATCCAAAATTTGACAAACTGGTCGAATTCATAACAGCGAGAGTACGGATCCTGGAGTCTCTCAGTACAGATCAAGCGAAGACGGCTCAACCGAAGCCGGTTCCACAAAGGCAAGCAGCCCAACTAGCAGGAGCAAGCAGACTGGCTCACGCCGCAGCCAGTAGGCCACCCTACGCAGCAGCTCAACCGAGACCGCCAGTTCAAGCCAAATCGCCGGCTCAGCAGTACTCGTATCAAGAACCGTTTGGCTGTGAGCGGCCATCACCATTCGAACAGTGCGATTGCTGTGGCGAACCGCATTACATTGTGTCATGCGAATACTTCAGAAGGATGGCACTCAGGGACCGGGCAATCTGTGTCGACCTGAATCGGCTATGCTTCAATTGTCTCGGTCGACACAAAAGTGCAAGGAGTGTTCGGCTCGGCACCACACAATGCTGCGTGGCGCCCCGCCAGTGCCCCCTCCACCAGTGTCTGCTCAACAGAAACGCTCAGCGCAACAGACAACAACGGCCAGTTCACCAAAGATGCTATCATCGGCAGCACAAACCACCGAGTAGGAACTCAGTGCAGTCGTTAGAGCGACAGATTACCGAACACTCTTAGTAACGGCTCAAGCACTTCTCACCACTTCAACGACAGTTCACCAAATTCGCGCACTCATCGATCCAGGTTCCGAAATTTCATTCATCTCCGAAGATCTCACCAGCCTGCTCAACCTTCGGAGACACCGATCATCCATCACAATAATTGGTGTTGGTGGAACAAAATCAACTGAAACTTGCGATGTGGTGGACATCACGCTGCAGTCAACACACTCACAACAGGCTATTTCAATGCAGGCTCACGTGCTCACAGCCGTATCGACAATCCTGCCATCGTTCTCACTGAGAACTCCGGATTGGCCTCACATAAAAAAATTGAGGTTGGCGGACAATGTTTTCATGACACCCCGACCAAGTCGACTTAATCATTGGAGCGGATTTCTACGGAAAGATCATCAAGCCAAACATCATCAAGGGATCACCAACAACACCAATTGCTCAACTTTCCATTTTTGGATGGCTCGTCATCGGCCCAGTCAACGAATCATCTACAAATACTAATTATTCACACTTTGCAGTTGCTCACGAAGATCAAAGCAATCTGCAGGAGCTGTTCACCAAATTCTGGGTTCAAGAGGAGTCACCAATGGACGCCCCAAGCTCGCTCACCCAAGAAGAAGAAGAATGCAAAGCCCATTTCTGTGCGACTCACTCTCGTGACCACACAGGAAGGTACATCGTTCGCATCCCACTCAAAGCACCAGCATCACTTCTAGGCAATTCACACAAGATTGCTCAACAATGTCTACAAAGCACATTGCGACGACTCGCCAAGGATTCAACATACAACCAGCTCTACGTCGAGTTCATGAAAGAGTACGAAGAATTAGGACACATGGTAAAGGCTTCAGATCATTCACGGATCACATCAAGAGAGGCTGAGAACATTGGGCCTGATAGGGAGATGACCTTGGCACATGATGCTTCGGCATCAGGAGGGTTGAGGGTCTCTTCTGACGGTTCGACACCTCAGTCCTCTGCTCACCTTCAACCATACTATTTGCTTCACCATGGAGTTCTACGTCTCGACAGTTCAACAACGAAGCTCAGGGTTGTATTCAACGGATCAAAGGCTACGACATCAGGCAAATCAGTCAACGATTTAATGCATACTGGTGCTAATTTGTTCTTGAATGTTACAGATGTTCTAATTTGGCTTTGCCATTATCACCACATTTTTGCCACAGACATCACAAAAGTGCAGTTCACAGGGATGATTGGGATCTCCAGCGAATCTTTTGGATCGATGAAGACCGCAATGTCATCCCTTACCAGCTCACAACGGTCACGTATGGCACAAAGGCGGCTCCCTTCCTGGCGACACGAGCACTTATGCAGCTGGTTCACGATGAGGGTCATCGATTCCCTCTGGTAACGTCTTCGCTCACACATGGCAGATATGTAAACGATATCTTTGGAGGAGCAGACTCAATATCGGAACTTGTGGAGGTCGCTCACCAGCTGATTGCATTGTGCAACGCGGGCGGATTTCCACTCGCAAAATGGCATGCGACTCACCCAGATTTACTAAGGGCTGTTTCGTCATCCACACAATCGTCAACTCCCATCTCATTTGACGACTATGCTACCAAATTACTCGGAATTCAATGGATGCCTCAAACCGACACATTTGGCTTTTCATCAACCTTGACTGATCAACCAAGTAAGTGTTCCAAACGCCTCGTATTGTCCGAAGTGGCTCGGATATTTGATCCATTAGGTTTTGTCTCACCGGTAATAGTACGAGCTAAAATACTATTACAAGAGCTCTGGCTACACAAAATCAATTGGGACGATCCATTACCATCTCAAATTGTTTCACGATGGTTCATCATTAGCATATTTCAACGGTGGAAATTCATGGGTTCTCTGATGCTTCTCAACTTGCCATGGCAGCAGTGATTTACATCACTGTTAGCTCGCCGTCCAACAACTCAACGACGTCAATTGTCTGTTCCAAGACGAAAGTTACACCACTGAAGAGGCTCACCATCCCCAGATTGGAGCTGTCTGCAGCACTCCTACTGGCAAAGCTCGCCAAATATATTCAAACAACGCTCAAGGTGAAGATCAACGCAACGCACCTGTGGACGGATTCTCAAGTCTCACTCATATGGATCAAATCGCAAGCATCACGTTGGAAGGATTATGTTCGGAACAGAGTTATTCAGATCCAAGAACTCACCCCAAATGCGCATTGGAGGCATGTTCCAGGTACTTCTAATCCAGCCGACTGTGCTTCCCGAGGCATTTCGACAGATCAACTCCAACGACTAGAGCTCTGGTGGAAAGGTCCGTCATGGATGGCTCTAGATCACGATCATTGGCCGGAGCAAAAGGAATTCTCAACTCTAACCAGCGAGCTCGAAGTGAGACCTAATGTCTCACTCTTTGCTTCAGCTCAAAAGCTAAGTTATCATTGGGATCTCATTTACAAATATTCGTCTCTTATTAAGCTGTATAGACTGACTGCACTTTGTTTCAGGTTTGCCTCGCGGCTTAAGAGAAAGCTCGAAGCTCCACCCGTGATCATCATTCCATCCTGCGATATGGAGAAGGCGCAGCTCTTTTGGATAAAAGCGACTCAGCACTTGTACTTCGCCAACGAAATCAAGATGCTCAACTCAGGCTCAACCCTGCATACAACTCACCTCTTCTGTCGCCTCACCGCCTTCATCGATTCGCAGGAAACAGTACGAGTAGGAGGAAGACTTACCAATACAACGCTCAGCAGGGATGGGAAACATTCAGCGATCCTCCCACGGGACGCTTACCTGTCGAAGATCATCATTGAAGACGCTCACAAGCGAACATTCCACGGAGGAACGCAGCTCACGCTTGCATATATTCGACAACGGCATTGGGTCATCGGTGGAAGAGCTCCTGTAAAATCTCACATATTGAGATGTGTCGTGTGTGCTCGTCAGAGGGGGATTCGTGCTCGTCAGATGATGGGCCAACTACCTCTCTTTTGAGTCACGCCATCACGACTATTTGCTCACACCGGTGTCGATTATGCAGGACCGATCACAATGAAAAGTTCAAAGGGAAGAGGCTCGAAAACGATCAAAGGATGGATCTGTATTTTTGTATGTTTCTCCTCATCGGCAGTTCACCTGGAGGTTGTCAGCAATTACTTAACCGAAGGATTTCTGGCAGCCTACAGAAGATTTTCATCACGAAGAGGGATCGCTCACAAATTGTATTCTGACTGTGGTACAAATTTCATTGGAGTCCAAGCAGAGCTCAAACGTCTGTTCACGTCAAGTTCAAAGGAGCACTAACACGTCGCATCGATTCTGTCGGCAGACAGCACTCAATGGATGTTCAACCCACCAGCTGCTCCTCACATGGAAGGAAAATGGAAAGCGGTGGTAAAATCGATCAAGTACCATCTGAGGAGAACTATTGGTGAGCTCTTACTGACATTCGAAGAGTTTTCCACTCTCCTGACACAGATCGAAGCGGTGCTCAACTCAAGACCATTGGAGCCGCTCAGCGACGATTCCGACGACATCTCTGTGCTCACCCCAGGACACTTCCTAATCGGTTCAGCGCTCAATACGATCCCAAAACCATCGCTGCTGGAAGTTTCACCAGGTCGGCTGTCCAAATAGCAACTAATCCAGCAAAGGGTTCAGCACTTCTGGTCTCAATGGTCACGACACTACCTGCAGAGACTTCAGTCAATTTCAAAGTGGCACCATCCATCTCACGACATCAAGACAGGCTCGTTGGTGCTGCTCATGGACGAGCATCTTCCACCAAGCAAGTGGCCACTCGCAAGAGTGACCAAAGTTCACACCGGCAAGGGTGGCCTCATCAGGGTTGCAACTGTGAAGACTGCAACCACCACTCTCGTCCGACCGATCACCAAGCTTGTCATCCTGCCTGTTCACCATCAAGCTGAGCTTACCCCTGCAGAATCATCATCAACGAGTTGCTGATGGCGGGCGGAAATGTTTGAGAATCCGCTCAGCCATGATGGCGCTCACGGTCGATCGATTTATCGATCAGGAGCCGCCCATCTCGGTCAACGCGTGAGCAGGGGTCTTCTCGCCGGTTCGCGCGCCACGACGCCATTATTGATCATCGATTCACAACGGAAAAACGTGCTCACCAGTTCATCCTTCTAAGTGCAACTCAAGTACAATTCAGCAGTGATAAACGATCAAGACCGCTCAACAAGACCTCAGGAATCCACAGCTATTGTGCAGAGCAGCAGGATTGCGAAAGGTATCGATCAGTTACACCAAATTCATTGAACACGCGAGCCGCCAACCACGTGTCGATCACGCACGCGTTCACGGGCATCATCAAAGCAGCGGGCTGAATTTATACAATTAACTGTATTGTTAAACGTCGACAGTTCACGGTAAAATCATTCAACGGTATATTTCATTGCTCTTGTATTCGATTGTTCAAACCACAAAGACAATTCAAGTTTCTGTTCTCGCGATCATACATTTGTTCAATTCATTGTCGAATCACTGCTCAATTCGAGACAGATCTGACAAATCATTGTTGCAATTTTTACTGTTTGACTAAAATAAATCACTTTGTAAAACCCATCCAGCAAGTGTCAGTTATTACCGGCGCAATCCTTCCGGGATTTCCATCAATCCCGAACAAATATTTTCATTAAAAAGTTCAAAAATTTTGATTGCGTTAGCATTGTATTGTGATTGCGTCACACGTATCTGGGTATTTTGCTTTTCTCCTGTACTCTGCCTCGATTCTCGGCTATCATCACATCAAACGCGAGCTGAACTCACTCGAGAAATGTGTTCTATACACGATTCAAGTTCGCATTCGGTTCCGATTGAAATGCACTAACCGAGATTTTACTGTATTTAGACATTTTTATGCTGCTGGTGGCCGTGAATAAAAAGAGCATTTGATTTGGGTTCGAGACGGCGTACAGTGCGGACGTGTTTATATTTACATGAGTACGCGAGTATCATTCTATTGCGCGTGATAAGTTTCCTGTGTTCAAGTTAAACATATAGTGACTCGTTAGTGGTGTACTTCTGATATAAAATCGTCATTTTAGTGCTCGTAGAAGCACTTAAATAATAGTTTGATGGCTTCTGACTACAGGAGTCGTCAAAATACTCAAGACTCAACGACTGTTTCAACAATGAATCGTGCAAACCAACAAGTATTTTCCTATGCGTCTACTGTTCAAGCTACTACCTTTCCAACCAAAGATCAAGCAATTGTTGCCAATGCTGTGGAAGGTATCACTATAAAAGAATACGTTAGTGCAATAGGATTACTGATTAACCCATCGAATATCAGATTTGTTTCCAGAATTTCTAAAAACAGAGTTTGTATGCATTTGGCAAGTCAAGAAATAGCAAATAAGCTCACAGAGAATAATGAAACGCTCATATTATGAGTTTCCGCCGTCAAGAATATGTGCATTCCGACGATGCAAATAAACTTCCTGAATCCATGAAAATAGTATATGAGGACACTACCTTCTGGATTTATGTATCTACCGATGTTGTCACCTGCTTCAACTGCAAGCAATCTGGACATCTTGCTAAGGACTGTACAGAGAGTAATATAGTTATAAACAACAACTTAAACCCTATTGAACTAAGTCAAAATGATGTTCAAACCCAATGCTTGGTACCTCTATTACAGCCACCAGACAATATTAATAACGACTTTAAACTCCTTGACAAAACCCCTCCAAATTATAAAAGACCATTATCAACGTCGAGTTCCAGTGTATATACAACCTCACAAATATCAAATAATAAAACAGATTGGAACCCTACCTCGGATGATTTCCCCAATGAGAAAAACGACCAAGAAGCTAAAATGAAATCTCTCAAGAAGAAGAAACCTAGAATAGATAATCCTGATGACAACCTTGAACATGACTCTATTGATGAACTCCTATCTCCGCTAAAGGAGTATCTTACCGGAAATAACAACCTGCAACAATTAAGTTACTTACAACTAAAGAGCTTTATAGAAAAGACGAAAGGGTGCAGTGACATTAAAGAAATATGTCATGAATTCTCTGATAATACTGATACAATCATCTCTACTCTTCGTGACACTTACCCTCTCCTTACGGATAGAAGCATCAAGAAAAGATATACCAGACTCATTAAAAAACTATCACTACTATCAAAGGATATTGAAGACCCCTCCGATTGCAGTATCGACGAGTGTACTTAGAAGATAGAAGCAAAGAACAATGAATGAACTTACATTACAGTGGAATATAAACGGTTATTTCCCACAAAAAGAACATCTTGATATTCTAATAAGAAAACATGATCCTACTATTATTTGCCTGCAAGAAACTAATTTTAAGAATGATTACCGCTCTACGTTGCGTCAGTACAACCCCTTCTATAAAAATCGCACTCAAGCTCACCATGCCAGTGGTGGTGTTGCTACCTTCGTCAAAAAGAACTTAGCCTCTCAAGAAATTTCTCTTAACACAAACCTAGAAGCTGTAGTTACTAGTGTCGTACTTGCATCAGGTTGTATATCTATTTGTAATGTATACATTCCTAATAGTTGTCTCATCACTAAAAGAAGTAGAAGGCTTAATTAGCCAACTCTGTTCAGTACGCCTTCGCGGATAGAGGATACCGTTGTGTAACGCGGATTCCACCACCGGAAGGTGCGTACTTCCTTACAACCTTTTACCTTTGTAAGGAGAATAAATTTACACTGAGACTTAAGATAAGTCGTTAAAAGCAGATATGTTTAATTCGAAGATGTTGTACAAATGTTTGTGTGTGTTTGGAGAACTAATACCTCAGAGGTATGTTAAAACTGAACTATGAAGCTACGTCGGAGTGTATCGTTAAGACCGTGTAAATTGACTTTAAGAAAGCTGACGAAGTGATCAGATCTGAGGATCGACAGTAAGTGGACTCGAGTCTCGGTGTCTCGTTCCAAGTTTTGTATTCTCCCTCTCCTGGGTCTTACGAACGGTCAGCAAGGAGCCGCAGGGAGGTAGTCGATGGACATTTCCCGTGTAAGCTCGCCGAAAACCCATCGGCTGCGGTGCACGTGGGAGTCTTAAGGTGCGTGTTTGCACAGAACCGGCGATATCTCCCAGGCAAGAGCGACTGATGGCTCAGGTATAGGCTGTGTGCCAGATGCGAGCGACTGTGGGCTCTGAAGGTCTTTGTGACCGGTGGTACCTGGGACAGAGCGCAAGACGGTTCGAACCCTGCCGGGGTTGGTAGATCTCACAAGACACATGCACAGCAGGGGGTCCGCTTAAGACCCGGAAGAGGAGTTAGAATTTAAGTAAAGTGAATGGCAAGACCTCGTAAAGGATTGTAAACTGCTCGTCGTGAGCGTTTGCAGACAATGCGAATGCCAAATAAACGTTCTGACTTTACTGGCCTTGTACTGTAGAAGGTCTGTATACTGTTGGACCTTTTGGAGTTTCATGGTGATTGATTTGGTACGTGACAAAATACTACACCGACCAGCTTAGAAAGGTTTCTAGCAATTAGACAATGTGCTATTGAACATGACTGACCGTGCTTCTAAATTGATGTAGTAAATTCATCGGTTCATGAATTCACCGTTGTTACCATTTTTACCAGGTATATAGAAGGCAAAACGGACGATGTCTTACGGTGAGTTTATTGCTCTCGATAGTTAAACCCGTAAGATTGTTAAACTATAAGACTGCTATTATAGATCCGCGAGCGGCATTCTATGCCGCGTAACAAACTTCCGAAACCTTTTATACTATTAGGCGATCTAAATAGTCATCATTATATTTGGGGCTCACATAAAATTGACCAGAAAGGACAAATGATTGGAAAACTCCTAGAGGACCACAACATATCTGGGGGTTGGGAGACCACTAGTTGGGTGTTGTATGGTAGCGACCATTTTCCTATTATGATACAAAATTTTTACTCGATCCCCCAGAGCATCCCAAGTCCACACATTGGCTACTTAAAAAAGCTGATTGCAACAAATATAAAGAAGCTATTTCGCAAAAAATTAGAAAGTCTAAAAGCCCTATCTTTCTTATAGCTACTACCTGATATAAATGACAAAGTGAATGCATTTACAAATATTATTATAGAATCCGCTAATGAATCTATCCCAAAAACTACAAATAGATTTCACAGAAAGCAAGTTCCATAGTGGAATAATAAATGTCTGAAAGCCTTACAAGCCTACAAACAAGCATTTTGTCATTTCAAGTGGCATCCAACACTTGACAATAAAATTCAATACAAAAAACTCAGATCTACTGCTCGCAGAATCTTGAAAGAAAGTAAAAAGCGATTTTGAGAAAGTTTTATTAGCACTATGAACGTATCCACTCCTATTTCCTCCGTATGGAATAAAGTAAAGAAAATAAATGGACTTAAGGGGGTAGACCCGGGTAATAGTAGCGCGTTGACATTACCGGCAAAAATGGGCCTAAACAGGGGTTTATGGGACTACACTTTTCGTCCTTATATGAGAACATTTGGGGCTGGGTGAGAGTTTATTCGAAAGAGGAAGGTCCAATGCACACCGCTGCACTCATGTTTCAGTGGGATTATGTTGATGTTTAGTAACATAAGCGACCAAAGTGGAGGAAAGAATTGACAAAATGCAGTCGCGGAATCGAAAATTTTAGGCCACTAAAAGAGTGCTGTGATTGAAATCATGAGTGCAGCGGTCTAGCCACAACCCTTACCTGCAAATTAAGATCTATTTTGTCATCATTTGTTGTGAAATAAGGACGAAAAGTGTAGTCCTATAAAAGCATTCTCACAGACCAGTTCCGCCATTTGGTGGATAATACAGAGCAAATTCAGCGAGTAGTTATAAGGTGGCGTCTAACTAAGAAGGCTCCCGATTTGGAATCGTAGCCAGAATCAAGCGTCAGCTTGATTACGTCACTCGAACTGCGCTGCGAAGGCAAGCGGAAAAGGCAACAACGCCGAAACGCTGAGTGAGACGCACTATGGTCATGATGTCCTTCTCTCATTCTGAATGTTGAGATTGTCCCTTTTCGCTAAGTTTTGACTGACGCCCGCCTGGATGTTTCAGCGCCCCTATTGAGGTAGGTCGTCGCGTTTAGCGCGTAGGTGCACGAGCATATCCGAATATTACCGAGCGCGGCATCGAGAGGCATTCGAGTCTCGTGATCACGCGTTTTTTTTTTTCCGAGTCGCTACACGATGGTAACCGGCGAAGTCGTTTTTGTAACTTATCCACGGTATTACTTTTCAATAAAGGAACGCGTAGTAAATTGTACAGGTTAAGAATATTTCTCTGCAATCCATTCTCATTGATCCATAGCCTCAACAGGTTATGGGCCCAGGTCACGAGTGAGAGAGAATTCGCGTTCGTGAAAAGTGTGGCAAGTTGGTCGTTACAGCGTGCGAGCAAGGCATGCGGCGAAGTCGTATTTCTCCAAGTGATCACAAAATGGAGGCAAACGTTCGTGGAGAGAGGTCTGAAACAATACCGAGTGGCGAGGACGTGGAGCGAATATTTTTTTAGTTCCGGGAGTGTACGCAGAGAAGATCGGACATGCCGGACGATAATCTGGTGCGATCCGTGAAGCAGTTCGACGGCAAGAATTATCAGGCGAGGAAATTCCAGATCACCGCTGTGTTAATGGCGAACGAGATTTTCGACGTAATCGACGGAACGGGACAAAGACCCGACTACACGAATGTGGTAGCGATGAAAACGTGGGTGAAGGATAACGCCAAGGCTACGGCGATTATTGCGTCAGCGATGGAAGATGAGCAAGTGAATAGTGTGCTTGTCTGTACCACAGCGTTCGAGATGTGAAAGAAGCTGATGACTCTGCACGAGCAAAGATCGGCCTCAAATGTGGGTGCATTAACGCAGCGTTTTTGCGTCGGACTCAGTAATCCAGCACGTGAGTGCCGTACAGAACATGGCAAGACACAGTTGCGGAATCTAGGCAAGCCGATATCGAATGTAGCGGTAATTGCAAAGATTTTGTCGAGCTTGACGACAAAATTTAATGTCTTCAAGACAGCGTGGGATAATGTCGATCCACAGCGTCAAACGATTGCGAATCTGTTGGAGCGGCTGATACGCGAAGATTCGAATTTCAACAAAGAAGATGATTCGACAAGCGCGCTAGCGGTCACGAAGAAAGCGAATGCCAAGGGTAACGACAAGGACAAAAAGAAGAGGAAGCCAGAGAAAAACATAGAGTGTTTTCGCTGTCAGGAATGAGGGCATTACGCGAGTCAATGTGACAAACAGAAGAACGAGGACAAAAGCAAAGGTCAGGCGAGTAACAGTTGTGCGTTTGTATTAAACGCGAGTCGAAAACACAGAGGAACAAGTGCGGCGAGCAGTATACAACAGCAACAACCGTAGGTCGAGCAGTTGAGGCAGTTACAAGAAGCCGAT